ACTATGTATGTGTACATTTGAATATATCTCCTGGATCACTGCCTTGTCCTGGTGGAGAGGCTTGCATAGCTCAATGAAACTTTGAGCTATGCCATTCAGGGTTACCCAAGATGGATAGATCATAGTGAAGAGTTTTGACAAAAGGTGGAGAACATTGGAGAAGGAAATGGCAAACAACTCTAATATCTTTGACAAGAAAACCCTATGGACAGTGGGCATGTTAAGGTCTCTGAGGTCACAAAGAGTCAGACAGGACTGAACAACATGTGTCTATATTAATTATACTTATGTATGTACATATTGTCTCCCCCAAGAGAATGTAAGTTCCCTGAGGGTAGAAACTATTTCATTTTTGCCTTTGTATCCACAGCACCTGGAATAGTACACATAGTAGGTATTGAATAAAAGCTTATTAATTAATTGATTGGAGGACCCCATTCTGAGAGCCAAGGAAAAAGGCAAGCTCAGGAAAAGAGACAGGATGACTTAAGCTTTGTGCTACTAGACCATATGGTCTCCATAAAGTAAAGGTTCAGATGCTGATCTAGGGCAGTAGCTAAATCCAGCTTCACAAAGGACAGAACTATTTGTAACAATCAGCTGTCAAATTTGCTTCCAGCCAAGCACTCAGGACAAAGGATTAGCAGATGGAGGCAGAAAAAGAAGATAAGGAAGAGATGGGGGGAAAGAGGAGACGGGAAGAGAATGATAGAGATGAGGAAGAAGAGGGAGAAAAAGGAACAGAGTTTCCAAATACCAGGGACCCTAAGATCTGAAGGAGAAAATAATTGGATTCCAGACAAGGAAGAATCTTTCTTAGTCATGGTTGGAGCCAGGGGCAGGATTTCAATAGACCTATAACTTTGAAAACAAGGGCAATCACAAGGTACCTTTAGGCTGGAAACCCAAAGGAAAACTCTTTTAAGCCCAGAGATGACAGTACCTGCTGTAAGTGTGGGACTTCCACACCTAGTGCTTGGTTAGAGAAAAATGTTCTATAAACACTAAGACACAAAGAATACTTGTCAAAAACCAAATCTTCAGTTTGAAGACTTGAGCTTAAATCCAACATACAGCCCAAACAGGATTTGGCCAAATGACTCAGAGGACAAGATTGAGAAAGAGGGATTGTCAGACCAGAAAAGAGGAACTAAAAAAGAATAAGGCCCAGTTCTATAACATTTGCAGGTAGGACCAGAATTAATTGTTAAAGATTTATATACATTTATAAAACGTGCATAATTTAATGCCTCATATGCCTCCTTATGACTCTTAGTAATAAAATCCTTAAAATCCTAAAAAAAAAAAAAAACTTTCATGTGCTGTTTTTTAGGGAGCAAGGCTGGAGACAAGCAAAAAAGGTGACATAGCCTGGTATAGAGTGTCCTGGAGCTAGAATCCAGAAAACCTGGCTTTAAATCTGATTTCGGAGACTTCCTAGCTGTTTGATTTTGGGCAAGTCACTTAACCTTAAGCCTCCATTTCCTCATTTGTAAGGTGGGGATGATAATAACAGCACTCACCGAACAGAGTTCTTATGAGTATTGAATGAAAACATGTAAAAGTTTTTTGTTTTTAGTTTTTGTTTTTTTTGAAAATCTTGAATAATCATAGAAATGTGAGGTTTTATTCGCATCATCCAAAAGGTTTGACTCCATAACAAGGGAGTCCAGATCACAAGGACAGGTGGTAACAGTGAGGAATTAATAAAGGGGAACTGGCATTCGAAGCCCCAAGACTGTACTTAGAAAAAAGTAGGGTCATGAGGATACAGCAGGCCTATAGCATCTTGGTTTAAAAAAAAAAAGCATAAACATTGGTTATCACTATGTCAACCTAAGTCCAACATGGTCACTAATTATTAGTTCAGTTTAATTCAATTCAACAAATATTTATTAAGCCCTTAAGCATTCCTTAAATGTGTTTATATGCCTATGCTAAGCATTGTTTATACAAAGCCAAAAAAAATTATTCCGTACCCTCAAGGGACATATATTCTATTAAAGGTATTCAGAACACATGCTGACAAGTAAATGCAAAGAAATGCCTTCAAAAATACTTCAGGAGGGATTTATTGTGATTCAGTAATTTCAGTTGTGTCCAACTCTTCATGACTCCATTTGAGGTTTTCTCTCCAGCTCATTTTACAGATGAGGGAACTGAGGCAAATGGAGTTAAGTGACTTGCCCAGGGTCACACAGCTAGTAAGTGTATGTGGCCAGATTTGAACTTATGAAGATTAGTCTTCCTAACTCCCTGCCAGGAACTATACACTGTGCCACCTAGCTGCCCTTCAGAGTGGAGGGTGGGGAATAGAATACTAATAACTGGGGTAGTTGGGAAACATCTCATATAGGAGTAGGTTACAGAGCTGTGCTGGCAAGAAAGCTAGGAATTCTAAGAGATAGGGGAGAGGAAGGAGTGAATTCCATACCAGGGGGATTGGGAGGGAAGGAGGGAAGAGACAACCTACAAAAAGGGACAGAGTTGAGACAGGTGACAGCTTTTGGGCCAGTGTGAATGAAATACAATGCATGAAATAGAGTGACATAAAAGACACCTTGTACAGAGTTTTAAATGCCAGGCTGAGAATTTTGCACTTTATCCTAGAGGTAATAGTGAGCTACTGAAGCTTTTTGAACAGGGGAATAACATGACTAAAACTTCGTTTTATCTGGCAGCTAAGGCAAATGATGGATTGGAGAGACACTGGAATCAGGGAGACCAATTAAAAAGCTATTGCAATAGTTCAGCTAGGAGGTGGACAAGGGCCTGATCTAGACTGAAGGCTCAATGAGTGACATGAAAGGGAAAATGGCAAGAGATGTTGTAAGGGTAGAAGCAACAGAAGTTGTCAATGGATTAGATGAAAGAGACAGAAAAGACAAGGATGACTACAAAGTGAGGAACTTTGGTGACTGGAAGGATCTGCTAATTAAAGAAACTGTCAGGGGCCCAACCATTAACGAGAGGTCACTTCCTAGCTGCGATGGATCCACATTTCAGCATACACATCGCTAGTCCCTTTGCCCAAGGAAGAGTAATTCGGATGCAGTTGACCACAACCGGCATATGAGTATTCCTGTGTTCATCTCTGGGCAATTATACATAGGTATACCATATTACTTTCAACACACCTGCAACTCATCTAACTAATTTGTAGACAAGTACATAAGTTATAATAGGGTTCCTCCTCAGACTTCCAAACATTGTTTATAGTCCCTCAGACTTTTTTCAACTCAAACATTATGCATAATAGAGAAAAACATAGGTAAGATAATTATTTACTTTTCTGGTGATTTTATTATTTTTTCCCTTTCCCTTGAAACCTTGAAGAGGCATCAAAATAGTATCAGTGGTGGCTGACATGTATTTGGATTTCACAGGGAAAATGTCACTTTCTATGATCTTAAGAGCAAGAATTCTTTTTGGGATCCTATCATTATTACTTGATTGCTGTCTACAAAGTCAAAAGAAGTTCTTTATGAAGTCTTCAGAGAAATTGTTACCTAATAATGACAAAGGGTATTATTGAACCAATCTGTTTTGTTTGTTTTAATTACACTTGCTTCAACAGAAACATTTTCTATGCAACAATCTATCCCAAAGCTGAAAACCTGGGCCTTTTATTTCCATGGTGGTCTTTGGGCAGCCTACTTGTAATGTATAGATTGTAGGCCTTGGAGCTAAGAAGATCTTGGTAAGAATCCTGCCTCATACACCCATGGCAGGTGTAATTCTAGACAAGTCAGTTAACCTCTCTCAGCTTCAGTTTCCTTATCTGTAATCTCTCCTCACCTCTGTTTTATAGAAATCACTTTCTTTCTTCTAGACATAGCTGATGCTATACTTTCTAGGAAACCATTCTTGATCCTGACCTAATTGCTAGTGCCTTCCCTTGCCACTTTGCATTTAACTTCTTTGTGTTGTATTTCTATTTATTTTCTATATTCTGCATATGTGTATACATATAAGTATGTGTGTATGTATACTTGTCTCCCTTGTCAGAATGTAAATTCCATGAGAATAGGGACCGTTTCATTCTTTTTTTAAATTTTATTTTATTTTTAATTTATGGGATAAAATGAGCATTTCCATAACATATTATAATAAGAAGATGATTACACATAAAACTGCAAATCTATTATGTACAACTTTCTATTCATTTCAAATATATAATAGTTGTCGTGTAAATTTTTTTTCCTTTTTTTCTTCCTCCTCTCCCCCTTCACCCTAGAGATGGCTACCATTAGACACAAATAGGTGTATTTGTGTGTGTGTGTGTATGTATGTATGCATATAGTAAAATTATTCAAAACATACTTCTGTTTATCAGTTCTTTCTCTGGATGCAGAGAGTATCTTTCCTCATATGTCCTTTATAGTTAATTTGGGTATTTATAATAGTCAAAATGACATACTCAGCTCAGCAAGTTATTAAACTGCCTATATCCTTTGATCCAGCAATACTACTACTAGATGTGTTTCCAAAGATGATCAGGTAAAAAGGAAAAGAATATATATGTTCTAAAATGTTTTAGCAGATCTCTTTGTAATGGCAAAGAACTGGAAATTGCAGGTTTGATAGGTATCAATTGGGGAATGGCTGAACAAGATATATAATTGTGATGGAATACTATAGTGCTATAAGAAATGATGAGGCCAATTGTCTTAGAAAAACATGGAAAGACTCACACAAAATAATGAAGATCTAAATGAGCAGAACCAAGATAACATTGTATACAGTAACAGCAATATTATTTCATTCTTTATATTTGAATCCTCAGAATCCAGAACAGTTTCTGGCATGTAATAGGTGTTTAATGAATGTTTGTTGATAGATTAAGCTTAAAAATGGGTATAATAATAGTACCTACCTCACTGGCTATTGTGAGGATCAAATAAGATAATACACAAAAAGCAAATTCAAGCACTGTGTAAATGGCAGCTGTTGTTATCATTTTGAAGTTCCAGCCCTGAATATTTTCTCTTCTCTTTCAGGCCATGTACATGTTCTATGCTTTGGCCATCGTGTGTGATGACTTCTTTGTCCCTTCCTTGGAAAAGATTTGTGAAGTAAGTATCATATTCTCTCTCTCTCTCTCACTCTCTCTCTCTCTCTCTCTCTCTCTGGCTAATCAAGTAATTTCCTTAATTGTTTCTCAGCAGCGTTCTAATGATAGTACCACTTGGAAGGAAACCTTCCTGTTTCTGTTCACTTAATTTGGGGTCCTGGTATATGTCATGCAATTCAGTTCTTCCTAAGAAGGCTTCAACCAAAAGAGGAATTGGCCCCTAAATTTGGGTGAAACTACTACAAAACTAGATTTACCATTTTCATGGCTACAAAGCAATATAATGTAATCTTTTTCCCCATCTCCATTTCCTCCTCCTTCCCTTCCTTTTCCTCCTTCTCCTGTAACCCTCTTTTGTAGCTTCATACAAGTCCTTACAAAGACTGAAACTTTCAGACACAGGTTTCTCTCACTCTTTTTTCTCTCTGTATGTATATATAATTCTCAAAGCAGAAGCTAGAAAAAGGTAAGATGAAAGAATTGGGAATAAAGACCAGGAAAAAAAGACGATGTTAGAAGTCATCACAATAAGAAGGATACTGAATACCAAGTTAAATCACTTTAATCAAAAAATATTCACCATATCTGCAACTCTTTCATTCTGTCTCCCCTTTCATCTCCCTTGTACATTTTGAAATTCAATTCCCTTTATCTGGGAGCTCTGTGGCATTTTTTTTTTAAATTCAGAATCCCAGTTGGGAAAAGGGATTTCTCTCTCCCACACCTCCAGTCTGGAGCTCCTTCTGTGGTTTCTTTAAAATGTGGGTCCCCCAGAGAATGAGACTGTTAAAAACTAACTACTTATTATTTAAAATCTAGCCAGGATTTTGTTAGAGTTTTATTATTGCTATAATAACAAACAGCAGCATTTTTAATGTTTGCAAAGTACTTTACAAATATCATTTCAATTTTTTCCTTCACAACAAACCTGGGAGTTAGGTGCTGTTATTATTCTCATTTTATAGATGTAGAAACTGAGGTGAATTGGCTTGCCTAGAGACACATAGCTAATAAGTGTCTGAGGCCAGATCTGAACCCAGGTCAATCTGACTCCAGATTCAGAGCTTGATCTACTATACCACTAGCTGATATTACTAATGATCCTTCACTAATTTCCTACTCCATGACTCATTGTGGAATGAAAGTGACCCTGAGTCCTTGAACACTCTGCCTGCCCCTGGAAAGCTTTCTAAGGGGTACAATATGATGGTCTGTCTAAGGACCAACCTAGATAAATTTGGAGAAGCTCATTACCAGGAAGAATGTAGGGTAATTAATGTTTTAGCAGCTCTTAAAGACTATCTAATAAGTTGTGGCAAGATTGTAGTCTGGGTCTATAGAGGGAATATTCAACATGACAAATGACAGATCTTTGAAGTACTACTCTGGGGCCTGGGTTCAGAAGTATAATTTAATCAACATAGAGAACTTCTAATATGGAAACCTCCCTCCCGAGCTCATATTGGTCATTTGTTTGTAATTTATAGTCTTAGAGAGCTGCCTACGTCACATGGCCAGTGAGTGTCAGAGGTAGGATTTGAACCCAGGTCTTCCTGACTCCAAGACCAGCCTTCTTTCTACCATAGTAGATACCCTGCTGCCTCTCCGAAGTAACAATAATAATAACAACAACAGAAATTCACATAGAGGATTGCAGAGGGATTATTGGCACAGATCTATGCAAAGAGGTGAGAGGCTTACATACCTAGAGTTGAAAGGGAGCTAGGGCCACTTGTGGAGCAATAAAGCAACTCCAAAGATAGTGTGCTGGACTTGTAGTCAGGAAGACTTGAGTTCAAGTCCTACTTCAGACACCTAAGTAGCTGTGTGACTCTGGGAAAAACACCTAACCTCTCTCAGTCTCAGTTTTCTCATCTGTAAAATGGGGATGATAATAACAGCATCTACCTCACAGAATTGTTGTGAGGATCAAGTAAGATAAAAAATGTAAAGCCCTTTGCAAACCTTTAACTGCTGTATAAACGCTATTATTACTTAATTACTGGAAACCGAGGACAAAAGAAGCTGTGACTTTAATCCATCAAGAAGCACTTATTAAGTGCCTACTATGTGTCAAGCATGTGCTAGGAACTGGAGTCAGTATACAGCCAAAAGTGAAAATAGTAACTGCCTTCAAGGAACTTAGAATCTAGCCAAGGAAGATAACATATGCATACATAGATAGATGCAAAACAGATACAAGGTGATTTTGAGGAAATGCTAGCAACTAGGAGTGGGGGAAGGCGGAGGAGGTGGTCATGAAAGGCCTCATGAATAAGGTGGCTCTTGATGCCTAGCTTTGATGGAAATCTGGGATTCTGAGAGCTGGAGGTGAAGAGGGAATGCATTCCAGGCATGGGTCTTATAGGTATTTAAGTGGCAGACATAGAATTCAAACTCACATGCATGATTCCAAGATTGGCTCTCTTTCCAGAATTCCTCCCTTAAAGGAGGGATAGTGTCCACATCATTTGGGGTACCATTTTGCTAATGGGACTCCTAAGTAGATAGGGACATATTTTGTGAGCAGAGATGGCCTTTATTTAAGTGATTTGGAGACTTCTGATGATGCTTGCAAATCTACTGTCAAATTGGTTTACTCTTTTATATTCAGCATTATTCCCCTCTTTCCCTTGCCATTGTCTTTAAAAAATGAAGATAGTCTGGAGAGGGAACCATAACATTCTAATGTGAATCTATCAAATGTTTTTCAACTGAATTGGGTCAAGTTAGCAGCCTCAGAACATCGGCATCTGATAGAGAGGACATATTGAAAATAGAGAGAGTAGGAAAAAATAGAGATTCATAGGGGACCTCAAACACTTAATAGCTCACATAATTTTACCAGGTTTTCCCTGTTTAGGTGACACTGTGCCGGAAAATGGGCAAAGTGGAGAGAGGATGGGGTCAGCCCTAGTCATGTTTTCCAAGGCACCTTGCCCTGCCCCTCCCCCAATATTCTAATCCAATCTTGTATAAAAATGGTTACAACAATGGTTTTTTATTTTGTTTTTTGCCATTCTAAAGAGAACTGCTGTGACTTCTCTGACCTGGTAGGAAAGTTGAAGAAACATTACACAAGTGAATTTGTGGGTGGTAGGGAAAGAAGTTTACATCTGTGTATGTCTTTCTATGTTTACATCTCTCTGGAAATATGGGGCCAATTTTTATCTACAGTTGCATTTTCTCACAAGATTATAGGATTGAGGAGAGGAAATCTCATGGCTGCCTAGGAGGGCTTTTCACCTAGAATTCTAACTATCATATCTCATGTCTCCTGGAGTTCACAGCCTAATGTGGGAGAGAAGGCTGGCCTTGGGCAATTTTCAGTTTTGGGAAAGTTGCATTGTGGAGGAGGGTGGGATCAACACCCTTCATCAAAGCATAATGTTAGAGACTAAAAATCTGCAGCATTTGATGCAGGAAAGTTAGGATCATGGGAAATGGATGAGAAGACGAAAGAGACAATCAGAAGGTACGGAAGAGGGGAGAGAGGAGATAGAAAGCTTTGGAAACATGAAGTAAAACCTATGCAGGGTCTGTTGTGAGATTGGTGACATACAAGATGCAGTAAGAGGTAAAGAGGTCAAAGGATGAGCTCCTCAGGAAGCTTAGTCTAAGAAGAGAGACAAGAGGTGTGCTTCTAAAAAGGTGTGCTTGTACCATTATAATAAATGTTAAAGAAGTAGCATAGATAATTTACACTTAGAGGCGATCAGAGAAGGGAGAGGTCACTTTCAGCAAGCAGAGGCATCACAGAAAAGGTAGCACTTGGCCCAACCATGACAGAAAGGACACAGAGAGGCACAAAGCAGGGGGAGAGGGCAAAGACTCCAAAGAGTCCGATTGAAGCTCTGGCTCCGGCTTCTCTTAATTATTTGGCCTAGGGCAGGTCATATAACCTCTCTAGACCTGTTCTACTCATCTGGAAAATGGGGATAACAATACCTGTACTAATAACCTTATAGGGTGAGGAGCAATTTAAATTATATGTGTATTTGTGTAGTGTGTGTATGTGTAGTTTCGCGTTTGTCTTTGTTACACATAATAGACACAGAGTAAACATCTATTGAATTGTTGAAGTGAAGATACACTTATCAGAGTGAACAAAGTTACAGAGTTGTTGTAATTATGCAATATGTATGTAGGGAATACAAGCAAGCCATTCTGGAGAAGGAAGGAAAGGAGCAAGGAAGTATGAGATACGTGGTTCAGTCACTCCTTGGTAGGGTTAGGGGTTTAGCCCAAGCTTGCAGTCACAACTCACTGCTCCCCTAGAAACATACCATGTGGAGTTCCGTCCTTCCGTAAGAAACAAAACTTAAACTGAAGTGAGCAAAGGGACATTTATTTATTTACAATTCTTGCAAGAAGCAGGTGTGTGTGTGTTACCCCTGAAAAAAAGAAGGAAAAGGAAAGAAGGGACACACACATACACACACTGTACAGAAGTGAGAACAATCTTTATGCGGTTAGTTCAATCCTACTCCTCCCTCCAGAGTAAGGATTGGTCCAGACTCTTCCACATTACAAGCTTCCTGATACTCCCACTTCATGTCCTCTTTGACATGTTCTCCCTCCCTGGTCATGCAACCCGTTTTCAGAAAATGGAGGAATAATCTAAGCATGCATAGTAGTCAAGACTCGGTGACCAGGGCACAAACCCTTGAGCTCGAGCTGTTTTGCACCTTCTCAGCCCCTCTTGTTCTTTGAAGCTGGGGGCCCTGACCATCGATCTTGCAAAACAGGATATGCTTGTCTATTAACATACCATTCTTTAACAAATTCCTTATTTGACAATATGTATGGAAGCAGAACTCCTTCTGTTAGGTATTCTTTATCTTACAGAAGAAGGAAGGAGGGAAGGAAGAAAGAAAGAAAGAAAGAAAGAAAGAAAGAAAGAAAGAAAGAAAGAAAGAAAGAAAGAAAGAAAGAAAGAAAGAAAGAAAGAGAGAAAGAAAGAAAGAAAGAAAGGAAGGAAGAAAAGAAGGAAAGAAGAAG